TTAATGAATCAAACGGTGTTTCCGGTCAGAAGGAATCAAAGTGAGATCAGAGACTCACCGCCCGCCGCAGCTTTAATGAGCTGATGATGCGCTGCTCTGTCAGAGGCTCACACAGCTGCAACCTGGCGGGACACGTCACTACCCACGCAACGACGTCACGTGACCATGCTCATCAAACCTGCGCCGCATCAGAAATAAATGGCTCATCAAAGCAATTTATTTTTAAAGCAGTGCAGGTATTTTAAATAATTAATAATATATATTAAACTTTATTTCTATAGAAAATTATTCTTTATTTCCATTAAACAATAGATCTGCTTCCTGCCAGTGACGTTACGCTACATGATTGGCTGAACACATTGTGGTTGCCCTGACAACGATAATAAGATAATCCGGCTTCCAGGGGCGGATTTAGGAAATGTGGGGCCCCAGGGGGCCCTCTGAAAACAGCCCCATTCTCCAGATGTAGAAATGTTAATAGAATAGACATCCATTATCTGTTCTAGGTTGTGTCCCGCTGTGTCCCGTTGTGTTCGCTGCTTTTAGATGTTGTCTCCAAAGTCTCCAGTAGCAGAAAAAAGTCTCTAGATTTGGCGCTAGGAGCTTTTTAGAAATCAAAGTGCTAGAGGGGTCTGAAAAGTGAGCAAAACATCTGAAGAGATAAGAAAAGTGAAATTAGAGCTCAGAATAAGTTCTGCTGAAGCTGCAAGAAGAATCTCATCCCAGCCAGAAAGACCCAAATCATCAGTGGAGCAAATGAAAAGTTCAACCCTCTGGAGGAGAGACCCAGACCTGCAGAAGACTCACTGATTGTTAAAAAAAAGGGAATTTGTTCTTGTCATGTTAGAAGTGATCAATTGTGGTTCTCAGAGGACTAAAAACCAGAAATAATCAAAATAATAGTGAAAGCTGCAGAAAAGTATCTTGAAGAGAGAGTTTTAAATTTGGAAACTGGAAACTAGCAGGACCATCAGAAACAGCAGAGTGATGATAACTTAATGATAAATTACAAATTATGAGGACTAATGCGATAAAGTATTTAGTGAGTTGGGCTAAATTAAACAGTTTGGAAAAATATAATTTTATTTTGTTCTTGGGATAAGTCTTGTTTCCTGTTTCCTTGTTTAACTCCTTATCAGATGGTGGCGCTAATGCGCTTTAACTAGTTTGCCAACCGCAATAAAACCTCAGAAGAAGAAGATGTTCAGACTTCTTACTGGAGTCCTTTAAATGGCTTTAATGGAATCATCCATGTCATGAAATTTTAAAACCTAGTTGGGAAAAGGAAAAAAATAATTTAAATTATTTATAAATTATAAAAGACTTTGATTTAGCTAATACAAATATCAGTCAAACAATTCCTGTTTCACCCGTTCAGCCGTCTATATTTCCTAATGTTGTTGTTCATTTTACTTTGTGAAAATCGTCTTTTACAGCTGCTCTTTATATCTATGCTTCTTTTTCTATGTCTGCTTCTGTCTCCTTGAACCCCAGTGGGCCTCAGCAGATGGCCGCTCACACTGAGCCTGGTT